GTTTTCATATGCGTTTGGCCAATCAATGTCTACTTACGTCACGATTAGTACCAGTTGTGCTAGTTAGACCCTGCTCCGGAGTAGGAGCTAATTTGGTTCTCGAAAAAGGCAGTCTGGTACTAAAATCACGCCCATTTCCGGCGGTGCGAAAACGCCAAAAAGTGGGTAGTTCCACAATTAGTTCTGGTACTATGAAAAGGTTCCCGCGGTGCGAAAGGCCCTTATGACGACGTGAATAATCCCGCCCACTCTAAAGCGGTACTGAACTGCAGTGGAAACGCAAACCGTGCCGAGCCGAACCGTGCCGTGCCGTACTGAGCCATGCCGAGCCGAGTCGTACCACGCAGTGGAAAAGCGCCATTAGTGGCACGTGATACAAAAATCATAATGTCATTGGTGACGTGAGTACCCATCACCTCACTATTTCGCCTCCCTAGGTTGGCGAAAGCAAATTCACTACAGGACCTTACACAGTCTTAAAATCAGCCTCTGATCTCACTCTGTGTGTGTGCAAGAGATAGGCTATTTTGCATTCTAGATGTTGTGAATTATTGTGAAGTATTTTCAAACCGATGAGCATTTTCAACGGTTTTACTCAGTATGTTCTAATGTTGGCCCCGTAGAGACATACATCTTGATATTTTAGTTTAATTCTTTAACATTGCAGTGTGCAGTTTTTTTCTGCATTATGGCTGAATTGTTGATTTCACAAACTCTCAGAAATTTACTTTGTTACAGTCATATTAGTTCATTTGTGTGTGTATAAATGTGTACTTGCACAGTTATCTTTGTGAGGACCAGTTTGAGTTTTAGACCTTGACATGTGCCTTTTATCCACAACTTGGCTGGCTTGTACGTACACCAAAAATTGCTCTGTATTTTCATATTTCCCACGGCAGTTATTTTAGGCCACAAACAATAAGAGTGCCTACCATTTTAAAGACCATTTAGCTTTCCATGTCCATTATTTTTGTGGTTGGTTCACACAATGCCACAAAATTCAGCAAGTTTTAAACCATCCTGATGAAGTAAATTGGAAATAAATGAAAACAAAAATGAAAAAGGTAAACTTTATTAAGGCTAAACAAGTTTTATGACAAGCAGTCTTATGAGCATGAATGCTGAAACAAACAAAAATCAACTAAACTTGATTGTATTCAAATAAACTTGGTAGACAATTTTAAAGATGCAACAGCAGAATAAAGCTAAAAATTAAATTGAACACATTTATGCTACTAAGTAGGTATTGTAAGCATCACTAAAATGTATTGAGATTAAAATCACTAATGTGATGAGTGGGCAAAAATAATGATAAGTAGGATGCTGGCAATATGGAAATGATCTTCCACTGGGCAGCTGAGACTGGTGGTTCTTCGGTTAACAAACATCTTCAGACAGACTCCTCTGAAGGATTAGTCACACTACAAACAAGATTATTGTCATACTGCTGGGGCAAATCATTTAAACAGCTTTGGACTTGTCATGAAAATGTGAAAATGTTTTATTACTTGTTTTTCAGCACAGATAAGATATTCTCTCCTGATCTGTCCTTTGCTGTCTCAGCATTATCTTCAGGGTTGAATTCTCCATTCAAAATCTTGGTATCTGTAAACATGCAAAGAAAGTCTGAGCATTTGCTAAACAAAAGTAATTTTCATATACATACTTTGGAATTATGTGATCAAGGACATGCATTAGAAGCTCTTTGGCTGAACAAAAATTATACTGTAAATTTAGCAGCATAAATGTATATATTTTTATCCAAAGAAACTTTCAAAGAAAGATATAATTGTTTGTATAGTGTGTAAGTTGGGTCTTCTGACCTTGCATCATTATTATTTATTTAACATTATTATTTCATTATTATTTTACATTAAAGCTGGAAAATGGATGTATGGAATTTTTAGTTTATTTATTTATTTTAGGTTTTAAGTTAATTTTTTTAAAAACATGGAGAAAAAGCAAAACAACTGGTCTGGTCTAAAGGCACATCTATTCGGCATATATGCTTTGCAGCTGGCTGGTCTTCTCAGAACACTTTCGCCAGGTTTTACAAGCTGGACTTCAAGTGCTTTCGGTGAGTCTCTAACTTCTTTTTGCTAGGCTTGTAGTTAGCACAGTTGTTACCGTGTTGCTGTTGTCACTGTGCAGGCTTATGTGCATTTTTATATATGCGTTGTACAAGTTGTTACCGCATTAGCTGTTGACACTGTGCAGGCTTTTGGACATTTTATGTGCTTTGTACAAGTTGTTACCACATTAGCTGTTGACACTGTGCAGGCTTTTGGACATTTTATGTGCTTTGTACAAGTTGTTACCTCATATTGCTGTTGACACTGGTTCAGTCTATATGTGCATTTTCATGGGCTTGTTATGTTGCTGTGTCTGCCCTGTGCTTCAGTGCAGCTGCTCGTTCGTTTTGGCTAGATATGCAAATTCAGTATACCTGAGCAAAATTTGCTCATTGGTCTGGCAGCGCCTATCAGCTACGAGCTTTCCTAGCGAGCGTTGCTATTGGTTGGGAATGTCGGGCATTCTACTCCATGCTTGGTGTAGCCTTAGCTTGATGGCCTGGTCTTCGCTGCTCTCACGGCGGGATTGTATATTATTCCCACATGCGATTCTCGCAATGTAGAGTGAACGCTTGATAGGGAACGTCTCCGGTTACTGTCGTAACCTCGGTTCCCTGAGAGCGGGAACGAGACATTGCGAGGATCGCCGTGCTCGTTGCTCGATCAGTATGCAGCGTTCAGTCTCAGATTCTGATGCAACTGTCACTCTCACCGCATTTATACTGCCTGCCAAACCTGTCAGTATTTGCATAGATGAGCTTCAGTTGGCCAGTTTATTGAACTGGCGTTATCCTATAAGACTTTTGGAGAAGGGGAGGAGTTCCCACATGCGATTCTCACAATGTCTCGTTCCTGCTCTCAAGGAACTGAGGTTACAACAGTAACCGGAGACGTTTTCTCTCACTTCAAATTTTTTTTCTCTCCTTATTTTTTTCTTTTTTTTTTCTCTCTCTCCGATTCAACAAGAGTGAAAAAAAAGATGGCTAGCTAACGTTAGCATGTACGGTGACCTAGAAGGGACATGCTCAACCGGGCACTTACGGTAAACGGGAAGGGACATTATAGGTTCACTTAGGCTTTTTTGTCACAGACACGATCATTTTGTCAAGGGAATGTCATTGTTATGTCGTGGCCACGTGATGTGAAGTCGTGGAGTCCAGAGCCTATGTTGAATATATGTTTTTCAACGGCTCTGTATTGAGGGAATGACATCTTTTCTCGTGGCCAAGAGAAACAAACACGTAACTCGTGGCAACGCATAAACAAACCTGCTTGATCATGGCAACCTGGGATTATCAGAAATGGATGTTATTAATTAATTAATATTTTATTTTGAATTAAGTATGACAAAGGCAGTGCGGCAAGACATGAATATTAGGCTATATTAGCCTATTATATTCCGCACAATGTGTTGATAGGCTACCTCGTGCCCATGACAGCATTCTAATAAAAATAGATAGATAGATAGATAGATAAGGGCCGTGCAGAGACCTTAGAAGGGGTATAATATATAGTTTTGCTGTTGTAAACACTACTGTTGCTGTTGTAGAAAAAAATATTTCTGTCTTATTTAAAATAGAATTCTATTCTGTTCTGAATTTATTCATTTTTTAATGATAATGATAATAAAAACAGGATTGATAAGTATAATTAGTAGGATGAGAAAATCAGTATAAGCCTGTTTTACCAGTGCTGTGATAATTATTTTTAAGGCACTACGTTTTTTAAATAAATACTGTAATAATAATAGTTCAAAGTATGAATAGTTTTTAGTCAGATAACATAAAAAAAACAAGACCCCTCAACGCCCTTTAAACTTTTTCCAATCAAACAGCAAGAACGAAAGAGAACAGGCACCTTTGTTTATATTGCTGTTTGTAGAACAACGTTAGCAGCATTTTTAATATTTAATAAATATTTAATTTTAATAAAATGTAAATTCCCCGCACTTTATTCGGGCAGGTGTGTTCACGTAGAGGTTTCTAGATTTAAATCTAGATTTAAATTCAAAGAGAAAGTATTGATAGTCTATGCATGATCTGACGTTTTATTCACATCCAAAATGAGGAGATGTGAATATCAGGAGCGCTGAACACTCTCAGGCAGTGTATGTTTCATTCATACTCGACGCTGGAGGGCGCTCTTGCGCTGAAAGTTCAAAACAGACTCATAGAAGTAATAACTTGTGACGTGCAGAAAATCCCTAATATGGACAAAAGCATCTGGCTATCGCTGTAGCTGAACTGAATAAAAAGCAGAAATGTTTTTATTGATGAAACGTGAAGACAATAAACACACGATTGCGAAACACCACCCCCCCAACACCCCAACCCCCCAACCCCAATTTTTTTTTCTCTCTCTCTTCATAAACATTTTTTTTTCAAACACTTTTTTCTCTCTCCAAAAACTTTATTTTTCTCTCTTCCATTTTTTCCTCTCTCCAAAAACAGTTTTTCTCTCTCTCTAATTTTTCTCTCTTCACAATTTTTTTCTCTCTCCAAAAACTTCTTTCTCTTTCACACAGATTTTCTCTCTCACAAAACTTTTTTTCCCTCTACAAACTTTTTCTCTCTTCAAAAACTTTTGTCTTTCACAAAACTTTTTTCTCTCTGTACAATTTTTTTCTCTTTCACAAAACTTTTTCTCTCTGTACAATTTTTTTCTCTCTTCAAAAACGTTTTTCTCTTTCACAAAACTTTTTTTTCTCTTTCACAAAACTTTTTCTCACTCTACAAATTTTTTTCTCTCTTCAAAAACTTTCTTTTTCTCTCTTAGATTATTTTTCTTTCTTCAAAAACATTTTTCTCTTTCACAAAACTTTTTTCTCACACAAAACTTCTCTCTACAAACTTTCTCTCTCTCTCCAAAATGTTTTCTTATGGAGGACAAAACCTGCAAAAACAATAAATAAATAAATATGCATAACTGAATAAAAAGCAGAAATGTTTTTATTGATGAAACGTGAAGACAATAAACACACGATTGCGAAAATATATGGTTTATGTGCGTTTTTCAAGTTATCTCCTGGTAATAAATAAATAAACAATATGAATAATGCAGTACTGATTGATATATCATTTAGTATAGAAATTATAAAATATATTTCCTGCCTTATTCTGTAATAAAAAAGGGAAAAAGGTGTTCGTAGTAAAATAAACCAATCATAAAATTATCATTAGGAAAATATTGAACAAAAATATTATAGCCCCTTGCTGCAGGGTAGTTACTTCCACAGGCTACACACAGCAAAATAAACAACAGTTGTGCATGCTTTCTTCACGTCATTCTTGTAAAATAATAATAATTTAATAATATAAGTAAATAAGCACACCGCTCCACTGAGAACTCCACTTACCGGCAGCCGCGGACATTATTGAAGGCATCCGAGCGCTAAATTACAACACCACCCCCCCAACACC